TACAGAGCTTCTCACAGAGTTCAACATCCTGACCTACAGTAAGGTTGGGATTCAGTTTCTTAAACACAAGTTTTAATGGCATGCAAGGTGACCCAAGGCATCTTTCCTGCTCCATAAAAAATACAGACTACTTAGAGTAGGTGAAATGATCAGAAGTCCTATTCCATCAGGTAGGGGTTATTTACCTATTATAAGTAAAGCAGCAGATGTTTACACAGGGTTTCCTGGGATTCTTGAACTAAGACAGTGGAAACCAACTAAAAAAAAAAAAAAAAAGGCTATTTATTCCAAAGCCAACTAATAAATCACAAGACATGCATCAATGTGGACTAAGGGACAGTCTGAACTTCAAAAGATGTGCACAGAAAACTGTATAGGCTGGAGCACCACACTGCTGCTGGGGTCAGTTCACTGCTCTGCAAGGTCACAGAAAATACTTCCCTAATAGAAAGAGAGATGAAGTGAGGTGATGTTCTTTCCTGCAGTTCATCCCTCTCTTCACCACCATTTTGGCTGGTACCTGGGTAGCTGAAATACAGGAGTTGCTGTAGTATATCTAGAAATTGGCAGCATTGTTACCATCATGTAGGCAATCTTCCTTGAAGGTGTGGTATCTAACACATGAGCCTGGTGGAGCTGCCTGCTAAAACTTGGGCTCAACTGGCATGAAGGAACCCAGAAAATCTAGTTCTGCTTTAGGCTTCTATAAAGTCTTAAATTTGAGATTCATCCTGTTATGTTTGTCTTCCAAAGAGAAAAAAAATCTTGAACCAAGATGCCTATAGATATTCTTAATGGGCTTGTCTGGCGCTGTCTGTGGTTGCAGAGGTTGCAGTGGGAGATCACATGTGAGGTGCTAGTATGTTACAGAGCCATTGCAAGAGTGACTGCCCCCATATGAAATTAGGTCCCAGGGACTGTTCAGTGACATATCCCTCTTTTGGATGTGAGAAAATGGGGGGCCCTGCAATAGGAAGGGACCTGCCAACTCTTTCTTGAGAGACAAGTGTAGCAAAAAGCAGTCTTAGATATTGGTCCCTTTTCCTTTCTCTTTGGCAGGGACAGCCAACCTACTTGCACATTTAATTATTCTCTTTTGACAGTTCTCAGGTTCTGTTAGACCTTTTGGGACTCCTGAATATCTGTGGTACTTAGAGAAATACAGCCTTGCTACTGTCCTTTGAAGGGCTTATTTGGTCTCCTTGTTCACCTGTTTGTGGAAGCTTTACCTCCCTGGGTTCCAGGGGCAGCTACTGGGCAGACTGTGTCTGAACCCAGTTGCTGGAGAATTCATCTTTTACATATGTGTGTGCGTATATATATATTCTCACTAGTGGATTTCCATCCTGTTCTGTCAGAGAGGGGAGCAGAATGAGGCTGTCAGTGCTGTTTGTATTCATGTGGGAACTCTGACTGTGACCTATGTGACCAGCCAGGCATACATGTGTATATATATATATACATGTACCTGTACATGTGTATATATGTAGTGTGTATGCGTGCTCTGTGTGCATGTGTCTGCCGGGAATACATCTTCAGCCTCAACACAGATTGGACCTGGGGACGTGCAGTGGCAGCAGCTTCACCTCTCTTGGGCTGTTGGATCACACTTGATACATTCCCCTCTAACAATTGTAAAACCAGAAAAAAATAGACTGTAAAAGCAAATTGATTTCTGTATTTTTATTTGCTTTCTCTTTAATATATATTTACCCACTTTAACCAAAAAGAGCAGTAAAAACAAAAGTACATTCAATCTAACTGCCCACTGCAGGGATAAACACTGATTTCCTGAAACTGAGCCATCAGTAAACTGTTACTGTAGTTTATTCTCCAGAGGCACAGGAAGAAAAGGTTCTTCCAATTCAAATCCTTTTACAAAATGTATTGTCTTGTGCTTATTTTTTTCTTGCAAAGTTAAGTAGGTAAGTAGAATTACTTCTCTTCTACACATATTATTTCTAGTGTTCTGACAAATTCTCAAAACAAACTTCAGAGAGGATGCCCTTGGGGAAATCTTGCTCTATTTTCCAGGTGCCCTAGGGAGGCTATGATGATTTATGCCATGAGCATGAGATCGGTGGGACATCATTCTGGTTTCATAAAGAACGATGGAGCCTCATTTCTGACTTCAGCATAGTAATTGCTGAGTGTGGGTCTGCAAATAACATGGGAGACCTTTGAAATGAGAGAGGGTGAGTGAATTTCTGATACAAGGTCATGCTGTATGATAAGGTGTTGACTGTCCTCATGAGTCTCTGTTAACAATTAAATAATTTTGTGCGTGGATAAAATCTTCCATCAGCACCTGCTTGATGATCCTACCTGCCTGTAGTTTCACTGGGATGGAGGAGAAACATGGAAAAACTGTAGAAGCTCTGAGGTAAGATAGGAAAATTAAGGATCTTATTAAGAAGCTAGTGACAAAGAATTCAGCAAAGACACAAAAGAAGAGGAGGAAAATGATTGCACATTGAATAACACTTTCATACATGAATTCACTAGGATTTTGAATATCGTAGTATCTAAACACAATAAACAAGGATTCTTAGCTTAGCACTGTGTTTAAATCACATGGCTAAAATTAGCTTTTCCTAAGTTTGTCATTTTGCCTTGCCCATGGCCCATCTTCAAAATGAATGGTGGCAAAATTGCTCACCGTTATTACTCCGTTTTGGAAGTTTGTCTTGGAATCAGTGATATCCAGATAAATGGCATAAGAGTCTGAAATTTCAAGTTTGGCTGAAGACTGTAGAGGATTCCAGTGTATATTAACAGGATGAGGAACTGAGGGAAGCTTCAAATCATAATTGTTAGAAATACCTAGCCAGGTATCAATATCTTGCACCGGTCACCATTCTCAAAATAATGGAGATCTCAAAAAAGAGAATATGTACTGACAGAAGGCAGCCTGCAGACATTCTCCTCAAATGTATTTCACTGCATCACCCCCAGGAGCTTCAGGAGAAGAGATGTGAACGAATAAGAGAATAAACATGACTACTGTAATCTGTAAGAACTTTTAGTGACTGGTGAGGTTGAATACCCCAAACCTAGTATGCCACCTGTGCCTCATCCAAAGGTACAAGGTACACACCTAGTTTTGATCAGAGGATGAATGGAGAAATGGGGCTTTGAAGGTACCTGTAGGCAGCCGGACGTGACCATTGCTCCTGTAGATGGTGCAGGCAATATTTGACAGAACATAAAATTGCAAGAGAGTGTAACTTTCTCTCATTGGTATGGCTGCTTCATCCTCTTGTCTCATCGTCCCCAGTTAAGTCATTCTTACTTACTCTGGACCTTCACTTAAGGGTCACATAATACATGAAGGCCACCTGCTTGCACTAGGTATTCTTCATCAGTTTTGTTGTTTCAGTGGTTATATGCACTTGGTTATATCTTAGATCGTTAATTCCTTTGCCATATGCGCAGACCTTTCTCCTCTTAGGAATAAATTTAGACACCTAAACTCCGTAAGTGTCGCTCTGTGCTGTCTCTCATTAAATGCAAGTAGTAAAAAAACTACAAGTGATAATTCATCTCAAATATCTGAGGGCTTTTTCAGATGGATAGAATTGCCCTGTAGAAGTCTCTGGCTCCAATCTTAGCAAGCATATTTTCTGATAATAATGTTGAGAGCTTCTCAAAAAAGATACTAGTGGAAGTGAAAGATAAGGATTGTATCATGCATCGAGTTGGAGGAGCACATTGGCACTCCATTACACATTGGAAAATCCTTTCTAAAGCCTATGAAAATGAGACCTTAAGGTATTTCTTAGTATACTGAAAGAAGGTTTGAAAAGTATAAAATTGTAGGTATCTTTGAGGCTGTTTGAGGAAGGTTGAACAGTGAAAACTTTTTTATAGAGAAGTAGTACGTCATTCTGTAAAAATGCTGAGATTAATTTCACTTGATTGATTTCAGAAGTTTCTGATCAGATACATTTAATATTATTTAACTACAGTTGGCTCTGGATTTTTAAGTGAATGATGTGTATTTTAGATGTCTGCTTGAGCAGTTTCACATCAGCAATGCAAAAGAGACCAAAATCCTGAACTGGGAAGGAAGTAATGAATGGAAAATTTGCCTTAGGATTTACCCACTTTGGCAATCTTTGATCAATGTGTTAAAGGTGAAAGTGTCAATCTTCATGCATGCATGACGGTCTGCAGGGAAACAGCTGGGATTGATACCCTCTCCTTTTCAACATCTAGAGTGCAAGTGTCAACGTCTGAACAGGTCATCTACCCTCTGAGTGGACACACAGACAGCATCCCCTCAGAGGGTAAGTTGTCTTATCCTAAGCAAAATAGTTCATAATAGGTCAGAAAAACCAATTTTATTATGTTCCCTGGGAGGCCAGATTGTCGTCTCATCTATAGCTGTTTACAGTGTGGTCACCCAAAGCAAGATGGATCTTACTTCTAACCACCAAGGAATCGATGCCAGAAGGAAAGACTATCTAGCCTGTGGGTAGATAAAAAGATATCGGTTCCTAGACTAAAAAGCAGAGCTACTGTTCTCCAGGATGTTAAATTCCAAGTTATGCTTTCACTTTGTGATAGGATGTCGTATTAACTGTAGCCCTAAGAACTCTGAAATTAACTAAATGTTTGAATTACAGGAAAAAGCATCAGTGTGAACAAGGTTATGAGTGCAACTGTGGACAGGATATTTATGAAACACTTTGTGTGCCCAAAAAATCCTTATGCAGATATGGGACTTGAAACAGGAAGGGAATAATAGGTCAAAGAAGAGGTTGTGACAAACCGCTTTTTGTTAAGGACTTAAGAAAAAAAAAAACCTTTGAAGAACTGCTGATTTTTTTTTCCAGAGTTGGCACTGTCATTGCATGAAAAAAAATCAGCAGTTCTTACATTTTTTTTTTAATTTTCCATTTAAATTCAATGACAGTGTCAACTTTTTACATTGATATTTATGAAGTGGAAATTGCATCAGGATTTTTTTTCACTCTCTTCCCTCCATGTCTCTTTGCAGTGATGTAAAAATGTCTGATGAGAACTGCACCGAGGTGACCCAGCTCACCTTCTTGGGACTCACAGAGCACCCACAACTGAAGCCCATCCTCTTTGTGCTCTTCCTGGGCACCTACGTGCTGACATTAGCAGGAAACCTCGGCCTTATCACCCTGATCAGCGTCAGCCCCCATCTTCACACCCCCATGTACTTTTTCCTCGGCAACTTGTCCTTCATAGACATTTGCTATTCCTCCACCATCAGCCCTAAAATGCTGCTGGACCTTCCAGCAGAAAACAAAGTAATTTCTTTTGCTGGCTGCCTCACACAGCTCTATTTCTATGCTGGTTTTGCCACAGCTGAGATTTACCTGCTGGCTGTCATGGCTTATGACCGGTATGTGGCCATCTCCAAGCCCCTGCTCTACAAGGTTATCATGTCTCCTGGCATCTGCATGAGCCTGGTTGCTGGGTCCTACCTTGCAGGGTTGCTGAATGCCACCGTGCACATAAGTGCCCTGCTCCGGCTGTCCTTCTGTGGTCCCTTGGTCATCAACAACTTCTTTTGTGATGGGCCACCACTGTTTTTTGTTGCCTCCACTGACACGCACCTCAATGAGTGCTTAATGTTTGTGCTTGTGGGTTTCAACTTGGTGGCCACCAACCTGCTCATCCTCACCTCCTATGCCTGCATCCTGGTGGCGGTGGGCAGGATGGGCTCTGCTGCAGGCAGGCACAAAGCCTGCTCCACCTGTGCCTCCCACCTGGCAGCCATCATGATCTTCCATGCATCTGCAACTTTTAATTACTTGCAACCCAGTTCATCAAATTCCCTGGAGAGCAAGAAAATTGCATCCATCTTTTACACCATTATAGTCCCCATGTTGAACCCCATGGTTTACAGCCTGAGAAACAAGGAGGTGAAGCATGCCCTTAGTAGTTTTATCAGGAGGAAAATGGACTTCCAAAAGACAATCTCATGTTCTATTACTTTCCTTTTTTTCTCTCTGTAAGGAGAATGTTTCATGTAGATCTCTGAGACTGTTGCCTCCAAAACCATTTGGCATCTCATGTGTTAGGGTTGAAAAATTAATTGGTCTGTTCTCAGACTGTGCCCACTAACATAACTACATCAGTTTTGTCTCCAGTACAAACTTCTCACCCAGTTACTCTACCTCCCATGTAATAACCATGATGCCACTGTGCAAAGCAAGGTAAAAGGTAAGTCTAGGAGCCAGAGATGGTGACGGTCTGGATCTTCACACAGAATCATAGGATGGCAGACGTTTGACAGAACCTCTGGAGATGACCTAGTCCAACCAACTGCTCAAAGCCAGGTCAACCATGTGTCTACTCCGAATATTTTTAAGGATGCAGACCCCACAACCTTTCTGGGTTTTCAGTGCTTGATCACCTTTACAGGAATAAAGCTTTTTCTTATGTTTAAATGGATTTCCCTCTATTTCAGTTTGTCTTCTCACTGGGCACCATTGAGGACAGTTTGGTTCTGTTTTCTTTATTCCCCCCGACAGGTATTTCCACTCACTGACAAGATGCCCCCTGAGCCTTCTCTTCTCCAGGCTGAACTGCCTGAGCTCACTCCTGGTACGAGATGTTCCAGTTCCTTAATCTCCCTCACCAACCCTGGTTCAGCAGGTCCTCTCTCTCTTGCACTGAGAAGCTGAGACCTGGACACAGCAGCCCAGGTGTGGTCTCACTGACTTGACCTTTTTCCAATGCTTTTCCTCATGCAGCCCAAGAGACTCTGGACCTTCTTTGCCACACGGGCTGGCTCATGGTCAGCCTGGTGTCCCACTGGACACCCAGGTCTTTCTCGGCCAAACTGCTTTCCACTTGGTCAGCCTCCAGCCTTTACTGTGCCTGGGGTTATTCCTCCCCAGGTGCAGGACTTTGTTGAACTTCATAAGGTCCCTCCTGACTCATTTCTCCAGCCTTTCCATGTCTCTCTGAAAAACAGGGTGCAGTTGTTGGAATTCCCATCAAAGTATTTGCATCTACTTAGAACCTCTATCACTTTTTTCTGGTTAACCAGAACTATTTGTTTCTCTTTTCCATTTTTGTTAAGCAGTCTGACTGGAAACCATATTTCCGGAATGCTTGATACATATGCTAAGTGTGAGCTTTAATGTGCAGTACTAAATGAAGAATATTTTAAAAGCCATGATAAAATATAAAGTTTTATTTATTCTGAACAAAGTTATGTTAGATATCTGAATATTTTTAAGCTGTATCACAAAATGTTGCACTACCTTATTTGTTGACCACCACTACTCTCTAGGATAGTAAATGTGTAGCTTCATCCCCTTGAACTGAATACACTTTTTCTGTATCTATAAATAACACATTCAGTGGCCTATTCAAATACATTTTCTGAGTCTTTCCTTAAAGTAAGTTTTATTCTCTAGATTATATTAAGAGCCAGAGGCACTTTTTCCATTTGCTTAGTTTAGCACAGAATATAAAACAGTGATCAAGTACAAAATCTGGTGCTCTGAGCTGAAGTTAATGCTTTTTTATTATCCCCTGTGCATTGATTTATATATAGATATGTTGAATTTCATCAGCCATCCTACTGCTCAGTCTCTCCTCACGCGTGACTCTCCTGACAGCACCTCAGGGTGCAGACCCCCGTGTTGTGCATGGTGTTTCTCAATTCTTGTGCTCACAGGGGCTGGCTCCAGATTGCATCAAGGAACTCATGCCATCCACCACCTCTCCGGTTATTCAGGCAGGTGCTCAATGCCAAGAAGTTCTCAGAGAGAAATAAGGTGCTAATGTCTGCTTCCTCACTCTGAAGCAAGAGGTTATGAACTCCCTTAAGCCTGTCAAGATGTTGGCCTGCGTGAACAATTAATTCATAAGGACTGATAGCATTTTCCACAACATTTAGCATTTTTAACACATTAATGCTATTCAGTACCCTATCAAAGTTAATTGTTTTTAAGCAGCAGCATGTCTCAGGGAGATGCAAGGCTGCAACGCAGCAGCAGGCAGGACTATGTTTTGAGCTGTACAAGGGAGGGAAATGGAGTGCAAGTGTCGGGATGAGCCTTGGATGGCTGCAGATCAAGCCATGCTTTTGCTGATAGGGCTGGCTATGGAGGAGACCACCTCACAGAATTCAGCCCCTCAAGCAGCAGAAAGCAACCAAGAACCACCAGCACAGTTGGCATCTGTGAACTGGGGTTGTTCAGGTGGGTCAGGACCCTGATGGTAACAACAGGCTGTAGTGGTCCTGATCAGCCTCGCTTGGCGGATTCTCCGCCCCGCCACATACACACTCGCCCCCTCCCATGGACTAGGACTCCCCATTTTAGGGGGCCTTCAGGCCTACCCTACACCTCACTGTAGGTGTGCCTGCCTGCATATGGCTCCTGGATGGACCTTGGGCCTGTGCTGTAGATAGATTTATTCCTGGATGGGCAAATGTATGCACATAGTACTTTGTCTCCAGCCACATTGTCTTTTGCTTCTGACCGGACTGCCTGGACGAACCCAGAATCTGTTTCATCACTTGCCATGGCTGTGGCTGTTGATGGACCCCTTGTGATGCCCCAGGCACTTGTTGGAAGGTGCTAACTGACTTCTGCCAAACAGAAGTTGTTGGCCAGGGGCAGCTGCTCTCAGCTGCTGGTGGTGCGATGCACAAAGCTGTTATCCTTCAAACTCCAACCAACCGAGTGGACAGCAGGAAAAGTGTATGCCAACTCCAGAAACTCTCCAACCACCAACTTCAGGGTGTGGAGTAGTTGTGACAAACTAAACTGCTTTAGAAGTGCTTTAACAAAGAGGAAAGTTTCCTTCTCCTTAGAGTCTCTGAAGTTGTCTGTCCCCAGGGGCTTGTTAGGAAGAATAAGGTAAGTTTACTATGAGCTTTCTAAGAAGGTTTCGAGATCATTAGAGGCTTCTTCACAATGCCCAGAAGTGTTTGTTGACTCTAGTGTCACTGAAAAAAGCTTCTTTTATTTTCTGCTGGGACTCCACTTTCTGCTAGCTTGCAGAGGAAACCACATCAATACAAATCCTGCCTATTGAGGCTGGTTGTTTTGTGTTGGCAAATGTTAAAAAAAATAATGTACACCATGAAATTATAATTACAAATTTGTGTATCTGGAACAACTCTTATTTTTAGATGTGTTGTTAAACCTCAGTCATGCTGGGTGGGGTGGGGAAAGAGTGTTTGTATACCTGTAAGTTTACAGGTATACTTGCATCTGTAAAAGCAGAAATTCATCCTGCCTAGCTCTGGCAGTCTAAAACCTCATTGTTTAGAATCATCTTAAAACAGGTATCTAAAAGTCAGTTTTCCTGGACAGACAGAGAGGCAGAAACACAAAACAAGCACCAGATCACTGATGCTTGTACAGTTTATTTGTATTTTACATTTCTTCAAGCATATTATTCAATCATATCTATTTCATTACCTGATGTTTCTGAGGAAAAAAAAAAAAGAAAAAAAGGAGATATTAAGGTGAGAATTGCTTGCTTAGTCTTCCATTCACACACAAATCAGTCAGTGTGTTGTCCTGGCAGCAGTCTGGATTTGGTATGCCTTTCTTTATTACGGCTGTAGAATTTGGACAGCTTTCCCTCAGTCTAACGCTGGTTATGAATGAGCAATTTATCCAGCCATTTTGAAACCAGTAAGGTATGCTTTCCAGATTTGTGTCTAGCAAACCAGCTGGGAAGATGCCTTGCACTCTCCACTGCTATGTCCCCTCAACACCCTTCTGAAACCTTTCCACCTCTGCTTCAGCCAGGTTAAGGAACTTTTTGCACTGCTGCTTGTTATCAAGCAAACAAATTTACATCTAGCTCTCCGATTTCATGAATGTGGTTCTTCTTCTTCTCTCATTTATAGATAATTCACTGGTACTTCCTTAGACACTTACTGTAGCATGGGATGAATTTCTCTTCCCACCATACAAGGAGTCCAGTGAACCACCTTGGGAGTGAGCTTAGACTTAGGTGTTTCACTACAGATTTTTAAAAACACATGACTCTTGTCTTTAAAGATCAGAAAGTCGACTGTGTTTCACTGTGTTTTGTTGTAACTTTCAATACACTTGATCTGGTTTTCCTGATACCTTCCTCAGGTGTTTCTGGTGATTGTTATTTGAGAGGCAGAAGGAAAAAGGGACAAGGTTGAAGGGTACTTCTTAGAACAGTTTCGACCACAAAACTGAAGGGGAAAGACAAGATTTTGGCTTTCAAAACAGTCTATCTGCTTTGGCTGTACATGTCTTAGATGTAGTAGGGATATGTTCTTGCTTTCTTTTCAAACACTGGTTTATTTAGACTTTGAAGTCCATTGAGGAGGGACTTTCTGTAGGTTTCTCTAGGCTTGAATTATTCCATCTAACTTTAGTCATCAAAATATGTTTACATAAGGAAGATTGATCAGTCTGTGGAGAGGTGTTCTCCCTCTGTAGTCAGTGTGGGATTCAGATATGAAATTGGAATTACAATGCCATACAACAGCATCCAGAGTTTGGCTATAACGTCACTGAGTAACAGATAAACCCTCACCACATAAAGGAGAATGCACAGTCATCCATGACTGAGAAAGCCAGTGGGTGGGGAGCAAAAACATCTGTGTTACATGAATGTGAGAACAAAGGCCATCTTTAAAAAGGTTAGTTTAATTGTCAGTAGGTTCAGGAGGTCTGAAATACTCTTCATCTTGCCTGGGTTACTCAAGGCCTCAGGATCTGTCTTTGAGTTACAGAAAGAAAACCTCTCTCTGATATTTATGCCTGATTATGCCCTACTCAAACCAGAAAACAAAATAATCTACTGTTAGCTGTCCACATGACAAAATAAAATTGAAGGATCTTGGCTCATGAAGACCCAGAGTTGGACTGAAATGCAGTAGGAATTAAGAGGGGCAGAAATCAGTTACAGAGGAAGCAAAGTGAGTTATGGAAACAGGGTTGAGAAACACTCACAAAGCAAGGGGATAAATATTAGTTGCAAACAACTGCACCCTTTA